TGCTGCCTGGGGAGCATCTGGGCAGCCTGTGCTGGCCTCGCTGTGACAGGCAGACCAGGGTAGCAAGTCTGTGTTAGAAGGATATAAGGAATCCCTTCTGCAACTGTTCTCAGTAGGGGTGTTTGTGGAAAGCATTTTTGTTTCAACTGTCTGTTTCCAGTTCTGGTTTTGAGGTTTCAGTCCTGGTGACTTTGCTTTGGAAGAGCACTGAAGTGTGGTGAAGGACCAGGAGCTCAAGCCCCAGCTCTGTGTCTAGCAAAAGAGTATGTGAAGTGAAAGGGTTTTCTGCGAGAGAGATGTGATTGTAGGGTGCTTTTGGGGAGGCACAGGAGTCTTCTGAGCCCATTGGGTGTGAGCTGACAACAGTGCTTTGGGTGAGCAGCTTAGCACTCCTGGAGACATCAGCATTTCTTACAGTAGATAAGCTTGATGCAGCTGTAGACTGGAGAGAGCCATGAAGGCAAAGCTGACTCTACATGGAAGATTCCTTCGTGCAATCCTGGCTCAGCTTCCCTTTGAGGTGCCAGAGCTTCCCAACTGGCTCTGGTATGTATTTTGTGTGCCCAGAGACCTTGGCTTGTTTGGATGCTATGTCTGTTTTGAAGAACATTAATAAAAAGTGTTGTTGGAGGAGAGGAGTCTGTGTTGGGAACCATTGGATTAAATAACCCCAGGCTTCCTCAACCCTCAGTTAACACAGCACTGATCAGGCCTCTCTGACTATCCCTGTGGATTTTGGGTGTGTGGCTCACCCTAAACTCTGATGATGCAGGATTTGCATCTACAGTGAGGTAAGGAAGTGGGTGCTTTGGTAGCAAACAGCTCAGCTCTTCATATGTACTTGTATCTGTTACAAAACCATGAGGCACTCCTCTGCCCTTGACAATTAGCAGTGTCTGCCTGATGGTTGGTGTGGTACCATGACAGGCTACATTTCTAGCTTAGCAGGAAAGCACAAAGCTGCTAAAACCATGTGAATGATGATCTCTAGTATGTCCAATGGCAATTTTGGGTGTTGAGGTGTGGTTTCAGTCTCTTTCTTTTTCTTCTCATTGTTTTCTTTTTCACTAATCCTTCCTCATCATTTCAGAAGACTCAAACCTCTTTTCCTAGAAACCAGCAAGGCCAATGTTTTGATTATATAAATAAGCTGCTTTCTTTCTGCTTTGCTTCAGTACAGCACTGGCTTGTTTTCCTGGAAATCCTCTAAAAAAGCCAATGTCAGTATTGGTGTAGCTGTGTCACAGAAGGCAAATACAAAGCCAAAATGAGCTACAGAGTACAGCAAGACCTCAGGTATCAAAATCCCACATAGGAGCAAGTATTCAGGCAAAACTGTTCCTGACTTACCTTCTGAGAGAAAAGAATTGGCAATAGCTGCTGCCTTTGTGTCACATATTCCCCCTCCTCCACTTCCTTGGATGCCCTGTAAAAGTTAATTCATTACTGTTTGTAAAGGACTCTGCGTTTCTCTGCTGCCAAATGCCACTGAGGTACCCTGTGGCGTCTGCTTGTTTGCTTTCCCTCTTGGCAGCATGCTGTGACACAGCCTTCTTCAGGGTAGCAATGATAATCATTTAGAACAAAAATCAGAGCAACCCTCCAACCACGCAAAACACAAAGCAACAAAACATAGAACCTTACTGGTACAGCCTACAAGGAAAACTGGGTTTCCAATAGGCTACTGGCCTGTATTGGCAGGGTTTTTTTCCCCTCCTGTTGAAGGTTTTGAGTCTAAACTGTTGCATGAAAATGCTTTTTTGTGTCTTGATATGATCTTCTTCCTAGAACATGAGGAGGATCCTCTTACCTTCTCCAAGCAGGCAATGAAGTATTGAAACTGTTCACTTTCTTCCTGTCGTCCCTGTTCCTTTTAAAGTCATAAAGGCAAAGGAAGCCTCCGTTTGCTGAAGTGTGGGGGGAATGAATGCAGTGACCAACACGGTGCTGAACTCCTGAGATGCTGCTGCAAGTGGAGAGCTTCCAAACATGGGCTCTGGGAAGGCTGCCAGTTCCCATTCCCATCAGAGCTGGGGTGTGTGTGGACAGGAGGCCTACTGCAACCACTTCACCTTGTTTGCCAAGCCAGGGTCTGCCCTGCAGTGGAAAGTCACAAAATCCCTGAATTTCTATGAGGAGACAGAAGCTTTCCTTAGCATTTTGCTTTGCTCACAAACCATGAGACCATTGCTCCTCAGGGCTGCTCTGGATGGTTATTTGCTTGTGGTTACCTTCCTCCTTGCACATTGTGTTGCACAAATTGGCTCCCTTTCTGCTGTGCTTGGGATGGCTTTGCAGCTCCTTATGGGGCAGGGCTGGCTGTCCTGAGCTCTGCAGGGTGAGGCTTCCCCTTGATGTGGCTGAAGAGGTTGAGCAACACAGCTCAGAAGGCTCTGATTCAGCCTTCTCCTCTTGCTAATTGTTTTGACCCTTCTAATTTTCTTGTCTGCAGCATCTTCTCTTTATTTTTTCTTCCCTTTTTCTTCAAAAGAGAATTTGCAGGGTCACAGTAGAGCTGTCTTCCTAACCTGCCGTGCTAAGGATGACTCCATGGGAGATACAAATAGGCTGCTAGAAGTTTAGGAAACTACTGTCTATTTACAATTCTCCCTGGAGAGCAGACCCTCTGTATCATTGGGTATCTCATGTGTGGGCCTGAGCTTCTACTGGATTTGCATCAGCAAGAAATATCTGGGCTTTAATTTTCAGGGCAGTTACTGCAATGTAAAAGCTTTATTGTGTTTAGATTTTGGGTGGATGTGACAATGAATTAGTGGAGTAGGTTATTTAGGAGATGGAAGGGGTAGTAGTAGGTGGGGAAAGCTGGCATCCTGATGATAACACGCTCTGTGGGGTCCAGGGAAAATGTGTGTCTATTAAAATAAGTTATTCTCTCCTGTGATGCATTTTGTTTTGTCCTGATAGAGTTAGTTGGTCAATGGAGTACCTCCATTTCCCACTGCTGGGATGGAAGTCCCAGTGGTGTCTGAAATGAGAGCAGTGCATTAGCAGAGTATAACTCTGTTTAATTTTTATCTTGTTGGTTTTAGTTGGTCCTAGTTTTTCAAACATTGCATTTTGGGATGAAACTCTGTGGAGTTTTGCCTTCCTGGGAAGTGGATATGGAAAAACTTGGTCATGTTTGAATGCAGTCAGAAAGGGGAATATGTTCTGTTGCCACATGACTTCTTTTATGATACTATGGTTTTAAGCTGCAGCAAGTTCACAGTAGAAATCACAAGTTTGGCAGGGAGGAATAAACTGCCTTTCATTTGTTCTGTTGGCGCCTGCGTGTATGTGGCAGTAGGTCAGTTTGTACTGCTTCATTAAAGGAAAGTTATTTCCTTGGTTAAATAGTGCCTTTTTATTTCATATCAATAGCTGAGTGCTTAAAGGGGGTTGCTTTTAACGAACCTGATATGAGGAAATATGAAGGATTGGCACCTGAAAGGTAAAGCCTCTTCAAGATGCTTTAGCTGGATGCAGAAGAAATCTGCATCCAAACAGTCCTGAAGAAAGAATTTGCTTCAAAAGCTAAATTAGTCATCTTGAAGTTATACAGCTAATGAAATATATGGTGCTGTACTTTAATACTGACTGCCGAAGGTACACAGTGAACAAGTCTGGGTTTGTTCTTCTTTCTCAGGATCTGGTGAATGGGCTGGCATCTACACTTAATTTACCGATCAGTGGCAGAGGGGGTATGTGTGTGTTGTGTTTAAATCACTGGGGGGTGATGCAGAAGTTTAATATTAGCACCAGGCACAGGAAGGTTGAAATTGCTCTTCTGGGAGCGTGCCTTGAATCAGTCGTAGTGCTGAGAATTGAATTTAGGTCTTAATTTGCTGATGTCTTCTTTTCCCACGTTCCCATCCTTGTAATGTTTTCTTCCTATGTTGCAACATGTGTGAGAATACTCAGTTGCTTTCTTTAGGAGAGGCTTTGTTGCTAAGTGTGAACTTTACAATTAACTGGCAATGAACATGTTGGCAGTTCCCTTTATAATATTTGTGAGTTCAAAATGAAATGAAGTGTGGGTTCTTGGCAAACTCCAGCTGACTGACTAGGTGATCTTGGTGAGTTGCTCAGAACACTACTGCCAGCCAGACCACACTGGGGCATAGAGCCAGAGCAATGTGGAGAGAGCCATGTCCTAGATCCCGTGTGTGTGTGTTGGCAATTCTAAACACCATAACTCTGCCTTGTTTTGAAATACTGTCCTATTTGTTGGTAGCAGTGTCTACAGATACCTCTGTTATTGAAATGATTGCAAAGGAAGATACCTCTGGGTTGAGCCTTTCCTGCTGCTGGCATGTGTGCTGTTTTGCTCCCATGTGTCGTCATGTTATGTAGAGGCATCCCTTCAAAGGGATGGAAGGAGTGTCACTGCTGCTCATTCTGTCCCTCCTGGATTTAACAAGCAATACTGAGGTAATCCCTTCTCCAGCAGCCATGCTCCTCAGGCAGCGATCTTATCTTGCTGTGAAAGCTGAAGATTTGGGCTCTTGTCAGTGCTCTGATGGAGGAGCTCTGAGGTGCGGCTGGAAATGACTCAAAGGGAAAAGCATCCATCCTGAGCTGGTGCCTCCATCTAGGCTGGCCAGCTACAGCAGAACCAGCGTGGTGGTGCTCTGATCTTCAGCCTGGGCAAGGTCCTTGTGTCACAGCCAAGGCAGGCTGAGCTCTTGTTCTGTGTTTTCCCATTCTGCAGGCAGCTTAGTGCTTCAGTTTGTGCTGCCCTTGTTTAGGAATTTCCTGTCATCATCCTGTTAAGGTGAGGGCACATTTATTGGGCATTTCAAGTTAAATTTCAGGTCCCAGAGAGTAACTGGTATTCTGTGTATTGCACAATTCTGTGGGTGTGACAATCCTGTCCCGAATAATGTGGCTATTTCTTTCTTATTGTTATTATTTTCATTTACTTTAAGGAAACAAAAGAACTTCTTGTGTTTTAGGGGGCTTTGTCTTGTATTTTGTTTGTTCCCTCTGTTTGTCCCTAGCATCCAGCGAGCTGCACTGGTGGTTTTGGAAAACTACTACAGAGATTTCACAGTCTACAACCCAGCCTTACTAACAGCCTCCAAAACCCGTGCAGCCAAGCACATGGCTGGTCTGAAAGTCTACAATGTTGATGGTAGGTGAGGTGAAATGCAGTCTCTGAAGCTGGGTGGGATGGGGAAGGGCTGGGTTGGCTTTATGCTTTGTTATGCACACATTCTCACCTTTTTGCTTTGCCAAATCCTTGTTTCTTGCTGGAAATCTTCCTAACAGTGCCGGGTTTGCCAGTTCTCGATGACTTTACAGATGTGTTTAGCCCACAATAAGGCTTTTGTCTTTGCCAGGCGAAGCGGCCAAGTTTTGGGTCAGGCTTTATAATTATGTGGCTTGACAAGCACTTTTTGGCACCACTGCTTGTTTTAGGCAGCCTCTGCTTTTTGTCACCCTTGGGTCAGCTCCTTGGTTGTGATAGTACAATAAACACAACTTTTAACCTAAATGAGTTCCCCGGTGGTTTATTGTGATGCTTCCACAGGCAGCCTTCAGGAAAGCGAAGAAGGTTGACACCAGTGTGGGAAGAAGCAACTGTGTAAGCAGCAGTTGCCAGTGAAAGCAATGCTTGTCAGCCTGCAGCCTTAGCACTAAATTAGCTATGCCTGGCTTATGCATGGCTGTGCTCCCAAGTCATCCTGACACTAAGCAGTTCATGGAAATTCAGACACAGATAACTATCCCCTTTGAGCTTTGCCGTTCAACAAACCTGTTTCAAGCTTTTGGGCTTTAAAGAAGCCTGTGGATGGATGGATGGGTGGATCCCTGTGGACACTCAAAGCAGTAAAAACTGGACTTAAATCATTTGGCACTCTTAAACCCTATCAGTGAAAGCTAGGCTTGATAAGCAGGGTATGCTCAGCCATCACAACCTTTATAAAAGTACACATTCCTTTGATAGAAAAGCTGAAGTTGTAGAGGGAAGCTTTTATGGTGAAGGGTGGCTGAAGTCCTGTGCAAAAAGTGGTAAGGCTCATCCTGTCCATGTTTAGTACTGAAAGGCTGGGAAGGGGGTTAGCTGGGAAAGGTGGCTCTACATGCAGGGTGTGGAGACTGAAATATGAAGGGTGTCACATGGAAAAACATGGGACATGATTGTTTTGCCTTCAACAAAGTTTCAGTGCCTTATGGGTGTGGGTTGGGTTTTTTTTGTGTAAATTAGGTTTTAAATGTATTTATTTCACCTTGGTGACTTCAGAAGTTTCAAAGACCTTATTCTAAATGTTTCCCCAACCCTGATACAGCACTCCTGATCCATAAAATGAATTGGAGGTTTATTTAGATCCTTACAGTGAGGTGTCCCCATCCTGACAGAGGAAGGGGGAAGCAGTGGGGAGGGAAAGGGCAGGTTTGCCCATAGTGTGTTCTCTGCTGCCTGGAATGAAGAAGCTCAAAGGTGGGAGAGAACAAGTTGAGTTGGAGAGGGAAGCACGCAGACTTGCTCTGCACTCTTCTAGAGGTGCAGTCTTTCATTCCAGCTGCTTACTCTCAGCGAGGCTGCCGTGTGGAAGGTGAGGGCTTCCCAATCCTGAAGGTGTCTGCATACTATTCAAACCCGATGGCCCACCAGGCTGGCTGCAGGATGTGCCATTCTGGCTGGTAGCTGGCTTGTCTTCTCCTCTGATGCAGCACATCTTTTCTGGGATGTGGCAGGGCCTGTGTTCCTGCAGCATCTGCTGGGATGTTGGGACTCCCAGGCTTGGAAGTAAAGTTGTCTGTCTGATAACACCGTAGCTTAGGAGCTGATAGCTCACAGACTTCATTGGAAGAGAAGGAACCTGAAGCAAGCCCTACAAGTGGCTGGCAGGCCTTTCCAAGTGTCAAGCTCATGAGCCTGCCAGGGCCTGAAAACTTGTGCCTTCCCTTGTGGGGTAGCACTATTCCTTGTGCAATGCTGCTGCCTTTGTGGATGTGGAAATCTCAGGCTTAGAGGCACATCTTTAAGAAGATTCCCATCCATTTGATGAAGCAGAGTGTAGTTCTGGCTGCAGCTTACCCTGGCATCCTGACAGTCTCTTACACCCTGCACGTGAAAAGACAGTAATGCTATTAAGGCAGCCTAATTTGTTGGCAGCTTTTGTATTTGATCCTGGAGCAGCCAGGAAGGAAAAAAATCTTGCTGTAATCTCTCTTACACAGAGTGGGGAGGCTCACCTTCAAAACCAGGATTTTCATCACTGGGCATAGTCAACAAGGCAAATTACAGTCCTAATCCCAATTTGGGAGCTGGTATCTCTCTTAAGTCACATCCTCCATTTCAGGGCTGTCAAAGTCTGAAGTGTTTAGCCTCTTCAGAAGCTGCCTGTGTGAATGCTTGTCCTTCCCACTGCTGAGTGAACTTCAGGCTTCTGTCCTGGAATGTGCTTTGTGCTTTTTAGGAAAGAAATCAAAGAGTTGCCCTTGCATGAGCAGAACAATTTTAAGCATGTCTGTGCAATTGATTGGCCTTAACCACTGCCAGCTGAGAGTGGGGGCTTTCAGAGCACTTAATGAGAAAAGCAGCTCTTGGTGGTTTGGATGCAGTCCTAGACTTCTCCATTTCCCCCTCTGGGTAGAGCCACCTCTATCTAGATAGAAGGGTTGGTAGACTTAAGGGGCAACATTATTTTGCCTCTCTCTGCTTGAGTAGCCAGAGCTGTAAAGCTTCATGGGGGAGCTGCAGAACCTACTATTGTGTTTTAAGGTCATTAGTTAAGGTCTTGTAGTACACAGCTCTGTCACTTAAGTGGGTGTTACAGAGCAGATTGCAGCTTCCCTGTTGCTGTACCTGTGCAGGATCTGTTAGCAGCAACAGAAGCTGTAAGGCAGGTGCTGCTCAGAGTGCCATGAGAAGCTTCTACATCCAGAGACCCCATCCTACCCTACTGCAGTAATGCTGCTGCTCTGACAGCATCTGGCCTTCTGGGAAAGCCTATGCTTTATCTAAAGGTGACCTTGCTGGCCCTGCATCCTGTTTTTCCTCCCTGCGTGTAGCTGTCTGGAGTTTGGCTTTTGTTCATTCATCTCCATGTCTCATGATGTTCTTGTGTTTGTCTTTCTCCTCTTCCCAACTCCTCACTTCTTGTGCTGCTCGCACTGTCTTGTTGCTGAAATGTGGTATGTTCCAGCTGCCTTTGCCTTCAAACTGAAAACATATATAATGGGTGGTAAGTTGCATCCTTGGCACGTGCACCTCACCTCTGCCTTTGTGTTTGTGTCATCCCAACTAACTTCCCTCGTCCACGTGGCAAAGCCCCCTCTCTAAGCCCATGCTGCCTCGCAGGGTTTCTACCAGAGCTCCTGAGGACCGGGGAAGGGTTTATAGCTTCAGCTGGGAAGGCTGGAGCCACAGAGCGCTTGACAGATGCTGTGGGGCACTGGTCTGCCCCAGTCCTGTGGCAGTAACACCACCTTTTGGTTTGTCCTTGCCTCTCCAAGGCCCAGGGAACAACGCATCGGGGCAGTCCCGTGCCATGATCGCAGCCGCGGCCCGTCGCAGGGACTCCAGTCACAACGAGCTCTACTACGAAGAGGCTGATCATGAGCGGCGAGTGAGAAAGCGCCGTGCAAGGTAAAGCCATCCCCTCCTCAGCCCCGTGGGGATTGCCAAGCCCCACAGGAGCCTCCGATTTAAGGGGCCGGGGGTTGGCTGTAAATCAGTCACAGCAGAGAAGTGTATGAAATCCAGATGCATAAGGGATGGTACCGGTTTGTAACTGGGATTATCTGAAGAACATGCATAAAGCAGAGCTCATGTATATTACACGGTTAAGCTAATGCAATGTCATGGATTAGGGAACAGTCCAGTGCTTGACAAATCTGGTTTCTTGCTGTAGGAAATCCCATTGTTTTCCCCCATGCCCAGCTTTGTCATCTCAGCTCAAGTAATCCAGGGACAGGATCCATAGAGCACTTGGTGTTGCCTTGTTCATGGGTGAGGACAATATTTGTGTTGGCACACTATTAAAAGGGGCAGTTTGCCCTCTTCAATGAGCTGGGGAGGAAAGATGTGACCAGAAGTAGTTAGATTTAATTTTGGAACATAGGTTTGTTTTCTGCTAGTCATACTTCAGGCTGCAGTGTTGATGCTTTGTTGAGCTGACCTGAGATAATGCCTCTATTTGCTCTGGAGCCTAATTACAGTTTGTAGTTAACATACCTAACAGTTTGAGGCGAGTTGCTTATGGACAGGCACCCCTGAACTAAGCTGTGTTTGGAAGGAATGTGCCGTAACTGGAAGGAGCTGGCTTGGTTTGTGTTTTCTTTTGGCAGTTTATATTTCATTGGGAAAGTGCTGGCATAGTTGCGTGTCCCTTAGCCTGCTTTGGGCTGACCTGTGCTCTACAGCCACTGTCTTTTTAGGCTCTTTTGCAGCTTCAGAGCAATAGGAACTTAAACTTTCCTTTCTGTGCAGTGTAACGTCCCAACTCAGGCACATCTCCATTGCTTGCTAAGTTTGGTTAGAACAGCTGCTTAGTCAGACAAAACCCATCAGTCACTGGAAGATCAGGCCAGATGTCTCAAAGGAGAAGGTCAGAGCTGCAACAAATACACGTGAAGAGATTAGAAACTGATTCCCACTCCCTTCTTCCTCACAAAATAGGAAGGGGTCAGGGCTTCTTGTGCTGTTCCTCATATAGACTCTGAATGTGGTATTCTGTAACTGTCCTGGTTGTGAGGCAGGTTCCCCTGGCTTTAAGAGGCTTTGGGTATTGAGGGCAGTGTGGACAGTAGTTGGTGACTTGAGTGAAAATCTAGCGTGAAGCAAGTTCTGTCTGGTGGGGCAAAAGAGTTTAGTTGAGTGGCTCTTCTACTGTTGTTGCTTTTTCCTTGCTAACTGCAGCATAGCCCCTCACTTGTTCCTTAGTTCTGGGCTAGCTTGAAAGTGTTACATGCAGTGGTCTTGGTGTTTGCTCACCTGTGCCAACACAGGAGTGGTTTGCAGAGCATGCCTCTAGCTGCAGTGTTAAGAGTGGAGGGGGGGAGCCCTGTCGCTGCTGGGTGGCGGGTCAGAGCCATCATTCAGCAGCACAATCTCTGTACGTGGCTGGTGCATGTTGGAGCACACTGCAGCTTGTGAGCACAGAGTCTCTGAGCAGTCTGTGTCCTGGGTCATGCTAGTTTATAGCCAGCCCCTTCCTGACTGCTTGCCCATCCTTATGCTTCACATTGCAATCCTGTATGCTGGAACCGTCGTTTTCAAAGACATACATTAAATGCAAGGGCAGCTGTGTCTTGTTTGAATCGTGTAACTGATGTTTATGCTGTGTTGGCAGAACCAAGTACAACACTCAGGCTTTAAAGCCTTGATCCTGGTTTATGGCCCTCAGTTTCTGGTCAAGGAAAGAAAGCTGCTGTCTGCCCCTCAGAGTGTCAGTAAAGTAGATTTTATGTGAATTGCCTGGTGGCAGGCAGTGACTCAGTAGCAGAGATGGGAATAGGAGTTTGTGTATCCTGACTCCTAGGCTCTGCCTTAACCACAGCCCCGTCACACCTCTCTCATTGTGATTCCTGCTATCCTGATTTTCCTTCTGCAGGCTTGTGGTTGCAGTAGAGGAGGCTTTCACTCACATCAAACGCCTCCAGGCAGAGGAACAGCAGAAAGCTCCAGGAGAGATGATGGACCCCCGAGAAGCAGCCCAGGCAATCTTCCCCTCCATGGCAAGAGCTCTGCAGAAGTACCTTCGCACCACCCGCCAGCAGCAGTACCACAGCATGGAGAGCATCTTGCAACACTTGTCCTTCTGCATCACCAATAACATGACACCAAAGGTAGCGCTTTCTTTAATGGTGCAGGAAGGAGAGAGAAAGGGATAGCACATTTGTGTGTACACACAGAGCAGGCAACTGTCGAGGGAGGTCAGTGGAGGTTTTCATAGTTCCTGTCTGTGGTATGATCAGTGCATAGGCTGCATCAGGTCTTAAAGGGTCACATTATCCACCTCCTACTCTGCACCTTCCCTTCTAAGAACATCCCACAATCCTAGAAAAGGGTTGGAAATGCAAGAATTTACTCTTAGGCATTTACTCAGGACTTACTATCCTAAGAGCAGAAATGCTATCAAGAGATGAGCCTTAGCATCCTCTCACTGGGATCCACTTGAGACCTTGCCCAGGTATGCAAGGGGGAGTTCTGGTGCTGTTAAGATTGCAAAGGAGATGTTAAAGTAACCAACATCAAACAGCATTCCCTGTCCTGCTTTCAGTTTTGTACCCTCAGTCAGGCTGCAAACATGGAAACATCTACCCTCTACCTTAGCTTGGCCTGAAGAAGGAAGGGCCAGCTATTTCATCTACCTATCTGGGATGGGTTATGGGGCTGGTAGGGGAGAAATGAGCTCTGCTGTACTGACCTGCTGCCAGATGGCACTTACGGCAGCAGAAGTCAGGGCTGTAACTTTGCTGGGATGGACTGAAAGAGACTCTACTGGTGGTTGTATCTGCTCCTGGGGTCTGAAAAGCTGGGAGGGACTGGGGAGAGGATGTCTCCTGAAGCGTGGAAGCTGAAACAATTCCCGGCGTGGCAAGCCCGTGCTCGCGGAGCTGAACCTGGGGCTGGGACGAGAGCATCGATGCAGAACGAGGGGTAGGGCTGGTGCTAACACGTGTCCCTCTCCCCGCTTTTTTTTCCTCAGCCCGGGCCCAACCCTCCAGTACGACAGGGATCGCTGGTTCTCCAAGCACTGGACGCTCGTCAGCGAGGAAGCGGTCACGAGCGGGTTACAAGACGGCGGCGTCTTTGTCCTCAAGTGCTTGGACTTCAGCCTTGTTGTTAATGTGAAAAAAATCCCCTTCATCAAACTCTCCGAGGAGTTCATAGACCCTAAATCTCATAAATTCGTCCTCCGCTTACAGTCTGAGACTTCGGTCTAAGGGATTCTGAGGGTGGGTTCTTTGGGGATTGGAGTTTGTCTTTCAATATCGTGCTTTTTGGGTTTAATTTCCCCAATGCTGACTGAAACTGGCAGATGATGGACCAGTAATATTTGACCATCTGCACTTTATTTGGAAAGGGGAGGGGGTGGGGGGAGTTGGAATATCTTATCTAGAAAGAAATATCTTAAGAGGCGACAGGGTGACTTGGCTCGGTTAGCTCAGCCTTGGAGACAGAACAGAGTTTTCCCATTTTCCTCCCTTTTCCAGGCATACTGTAAGTCTCACGCTTGCTCGTTCTCCTCACAATTGCAACATGGGTTATTTTTGTTGGAGCGCTGCCTTTACGCCATACACATGCCTGTGCTTTTGCCTCTCTGCTTTTCCTACCCATAGCTGTTTCTGAAGAGTGTATTGCTCACCCCTTTGCTGTAGAAACCTGCTTGCACGGGGATGTGGCAGTCCCTGTTCATTCGGCGAGGAGAGGGTATCAAAGGGCTTGTCGTGGTTTAAGCTTCTGGGAGCCACCTGAAGTCTTTCTTTTCCCTCTATCCATGTGCCCTCTTCTGTCAGATTTGGACCTATATGAGCACAGTGGGATGGTTTTGCCTTCTGTGTCTCTGATGTTGCTTGTCTTGAACTGGAACAGCCCATTTGCAGCTCTTCAGATTGATTTTGCATTATGTTTTTATCCCAGTGCTTGCTAGTGAAACTGTTCTGTGCGACACAGCTCCCTGTTGTCTATCACCTGCTTCCTCTCTCCTGCTTGCCTGCATCTCTGTCGGGCACTCCCAAGGCTCCCTGTTTCTGTCTTCCCTGTCTGGCTTTCCCACTGTGTTTCTCCAGCCACAGTCCCCTCAGGCTCTGTCTTATTGCCACTTCCTTTTGCACCTGCAAGGGCTGCCTATTTGCACTGGGACAGGGGAGGTGAGTAGCTGGCCCCTCCTTAGATAAATCACAGACCCTCCCTATGTCTGACAGCCTCTTTGAGGGGAAGGGGGTGCAGGCAGGCATGTGCCCCTCCCTCTCTAGCCAGCTTCAAGTGTGTCTGGAGGAAAGGAAAAGAGCCAGGGAAGGGCTGACCTGCCATGTGCACTTGCTTTGGAGAACTGCTGTGTCCTTCCCCACCATACGCCTTCAGCTCTAGCTAAGAAATACCAAACTCTGTCTGAATGTTTCAAACCTGGCTGCCTCCTGCCTTTCTTGGCCTTTCTGTACTGGGTGACCTTCTGCTCAGTGCTGGGATCTGCTCCTGAGATGTGCAGTTTCGTTTTGCCTTTGTCCATCAGTGTGGCTTTAGTGTCACCTGAGTTTTGGGGGGTTTGGGGAGGTTTGCTTTTAGTGATGAGCCAAAAGCAGTGTCTGATTGCTGGCACAGGGCATGGTGTGACTCCAGGGCCAGCTCTGAGGCTGGCAGTGAGCTGCTTTCAGTCAGGTCCCAGCTCTGTGGTGGTGGATTTGTGCGTGAATGCAAAATGATTTAATTCTTCCCACTTTTTTGCCATGCACATGTCTCTTATGGGGACAGGATCTGACCTGCCTTCCACATGGATGTCTTCTTAACACAGAGGGCCCCAGTTCTGTGTAAGCCAGTGCCTTTTGTTGCCAGGGTGGGTAGTCTTCCAAGAGGGGCTGTGACAGCCCCTCCTGTCCCCTTTTGGCCTTCCCTGGGCTCCTCCAGCAGCTCGTGGGGCTGCCTCCATGCTCCCACCAGCATGAGGTGGCCCAGCTAAGAGTGGGGCTCTACTAGTCCTCCATGGCATGGCTGGTGTGGGCTGGCTGGTGCCCACCACAAGCTGGTGGGAGGGAGCAGCCACCTTAAGCTGGGGACAGGGCAGGGGGGTCCAACCTCTTCCAGCTTCAGCAGCAGTGGAGCTGCGGATAGTTCTGTTGGGATCAAGGGAGCACAGCAAAGGTCTGAAGTGGTGATTCCTCATCCAAGTGATGCCTGCAGTGTCCTGCGCCTTTCTTACAAGTGTGTGGAAGTCACCTACATCCTGTCTTCTCTGTGTAATGTGCCAGATGTGGTTGTGAAGAAACTAGATGGTGCGGTACATGATGGGACGTGTCCCTTAAAGGACGGGAAGTAGGTAGAGTTTTCCCTTCTCTAAACTTAGTGTTTGGGTTTCTTTCTAGGTCAGGCTTTCTGGTAATCTGTATAGGGACTCCTTTATTGACTGTGGCCTTTGCAGTGTTTTAGTTAGACAGTACAGATTGATTTATTCCTTTAAACAAAAAAGGTGGGGGGGAACTACATAATATCTCCTCGCACTTGGCTCTCCTGAAGATGCATATATCTGGCTTTCATGATGTGCATCACTAGCAAGGTGGGAGAGACTGGGAGACTGTGGAACACTTCTGCCTCTGTGGAGGCTGCTGTCTGTGGCTGAATTGGCTTGTTTCTGTGAAGCGAGAACAAGAACCCCCTTGCTAGGGGCTTGGGTGTGCTGTGTGTGTGAGAGCACTTTCTTACAGGCACCTCTGCTAAAGTTTCTCACTTTGCCAGGATTTCCTTTCCCTTTCCTTTCCCCTGCCCCACCGGGAGTCTGTCTGACAGGATCTGCTCAAGAAACTCATGTCTTAATCCCATTAAATCCTTAACCACATGGAGAAGCAGATGGAAGCGATGCTTGCTCGTTCTGGGTCTGCTTCCTCATCAGTGCTGCCTTTTCTGCCTGCCCATGGAAAGGACGCTGTCAGTGGGGGCCAACTCCTAAATCATACACTCTTCCCTGTGTCAGCACTGTGAATGTTTTGCCTTATGAAATCTGAAGGAGAGGACTTGGCCTCTCAAATGATCTCTTTAGAATGCAACCTGCTTAGGGGTGACGGCAGACTCAAAGAGCAGTCGGGACTCCTGAGTATTCCCTGTTCTTGTTTTTAATGACATTCTATTTCTCAGGGTCTCTCGCTTCCCCTCTCTGCAGAATCAGGGAACTACTGTCATACTTACTTCACTGGGGTGTCCTGAGGCTAAATTCAACTTGTCAAGTGCTTTGAGATCCACAGATGGATCTGTGGCATCTGTAGGATTTCAGATTCTTCATAAGAACCCTGAGCGGTGAGAGCAGCCTCGTTTGTTTGACTCTGTTTATAGCCAGCTAATGAGTAAGAATCGAGTCACAGGGAACACAGCTCCAGTCCAAATCCTGCACTCCCTCCTTCTGCAAAGCTTGCCAAGAGCTGAGCATAAAAATAAGGCTTGAAGGGTTTTGCCAGCCAAGAGCAGGCTGTTTTCCTCCAAATGCCTTTCCTATCCGGCACATATTCTCCCTCCTCTCTCCTAATCTGGATTCTTGTACCTGGCTGAGAATTGTTGGGTTTTTTTGGAGTTCAAATGGTTTATAAGACAACCTTGTTTGAAGTGAACAATGTCCCCTCAGAGGAGATCCTTGCACTGGACATTCTTCCCTAAAGACTGGACCATTTGATAATGTTGCCTCACTCTTCTTTTCCATGTTGGTGTTTTCCCTGTGACTCTGAAGTATGCTTCTTGGATACTTTAAAGGCTTTGGGGTTTCTTTGGTCTCAGATCTGTAACAGCCTAAATCCAAAGCCATGCTGAGATCTTTCAAAACCACATGCAGCAATTTGGGCTGTTCTGGAACAGATGGAGATGGCTGTGGGTTTCCACGAAGCCTGGCTTTCTGTTTCATGGCTAAAGAGGGAAAGATACAGATTCCTCCCAGCTTCTAAGAGTGTAGATATTACACTTGCAGGGGGACTGTAGGAGAGAAAGGCAGATCTGATTTTAGCCTCTGCCAGCTATTCTTCTGACTTCTGCCTCTACAACTTTTCCTGCCAGCAACTTCAGTTGTTCTAGCTCCCATCCTTGCCTCCATGTGGGATTTTTTTCCCTGATATTCCCTAGGGAGGCAGAACAAGTATCCAGTGGGATGGGAGGTGCTGGGGCTGCAGTTTGGGAGCAGCTCACAATGAGGCACGAGGTTGGAGGAAATATGAACAAATCCCACCCCTCATGGAGCCTCTTAACCTTTTCCTTTGGGATGGGGATCTCCATGCAAAGCCTCAGGAATCTGCTATTGCCAAGTATGTCAGAAGCTGTGGGAGAGCTGATTCTGAGGCTGGCCCTACCCTGCATAAGTAGCTTTTGAAGTCTTGTTTGAGATGTGCTGGTTTCCAATGCTTGCTGTTGAAGAACTGGAAGGATCCATCCTGTGCTGAATGTGGAATCCTATTCAAGCCAATTCCATCGTCTTTCTTACCAAAACTTGTAAATCAGCCCTTTTCCAAAAGGAAAACAAAAGTCTCTGGCAAAAACGCTGTAGTCTGGTCCCAGGCTCTGCTCTTTGGTTGTGCTCAGTTCTGCCCTCCCCTATGAGAGCTGTTCAGGAGAGGTGTGTGCAGGTGTCTGTTTCCTCGCTCAGCCTGTGTGTGTCTGTGCTCTTCCCTCATAGGTGTGTGTGTTATACATGTTTAAAGCCTCAGGCCAGGCTCGGTGGCTCAGTGTTCCGGCTGTGTTAAGAAGGAAGCTCTTGGGATTGAACTGTTTGGGTTTTTTTTAAAAAGCAGAAGTGAACCCCCCAAATTTCTGCCTTCTAAAAGAGGTGGCTTCGGGCCATGAAGTCTCCAGTGGGAATACCCATCCTCCTGCATTCAGGCTGCTGCCTCCAATATATGATGACCAAAAGCTGCCATTTCCAACCGCTGCTCTATGACCTCTTTGGGATACTCCTGAGCCAGGTCCCCTCTGTTACACCAGTGGTACAACTGGTGTTACCTTCCCCCTGCATCCCTCTGAGAGACTCTGTTTTTAATCCCCATAACGTACTGAAGCCCTGCGGGCAGCCAGCCCTGCCCTGTGTCTGCTCTGCCTGCCCAGAGAGGGCATCCTTCCCTCTGGCTGCACCTCTCACCAGCGCAGTGATGCTTGGGGGTGTCTCCTGCACTGCGGGGGTGCTGTGGCTACCTGCACAGACAGTAACTGTGAAGGAATCTTACACTCTTCTGTGCCTGTTTCTTGGATTCAGCATTATTGT